TTTCCTAGCCATGTTTCCTGAAGGTGAACAAACCAGGAAACATTGTTTCCTAGCCATGTTTCCTGAAGGTGGACAAACCAGGAAACATTGTTTCCTAGCCATATTTCCTGAAGGTGAACAAACCAGGAAACATTGTTTCCTAGCCATGTTTCCTGAAGGTGGACAAACCAGGAAGCATTGTTTCTTAGTCATGTTTCCCAATGGTGGAAAAACTAGAAAACGTTGTGTCCTAGCTACAATCCTGGAAAAAATTATCGTGGACAGCGCGTGCGTCAAACAAAAATAGATATATTTCTACATAATTAATCCGCCAGAAAATTTCTCCCCCTCCTACCCCCAACTCAATGTTGGTAAATGAAACTTTTAAAATTTGAATGCGAGAAACAACATTGAATAGGGGGCAGGGGGTGACAAATTTCACGAAAGAACGTCTCAATGTTAATATTGGCGTTAGGAAAGTTAGGTGTCCACATAATTTTTGCCAGGATTGTAGCTCTTGGGAAGCAAATTTTGTTTCGTAACAATAATTTCTACAGGTGTTACTATAGTTTTTATAATTTTTTTTTTCTGTGTTGGTGTAGTGTACTTAGGTCAATATGATGCTTGTGATGTTACTCTGAGTGTATATCCACACCGAGCAAGCTTGAAAAATATGCCTGACCACGGTGGGAATCGATCCTACGACCTTTGGAATACTAGCCCAATGCTCTGCCAAGTGAACCGAAAATGCAAGACTTGCTTTAATTGTTTTCTGTCCGTGTTTATATGTATTGATCTAGCATAGTGTAAATAACACGAGTTCCATTACAGTAAATACAGAAAGAAATTGAAGGAAAACAATTAAAAAAGTCTTGCATTTTCGGTTCAGTTTTGAACCGAGATTTTCCGAAGTTGACAAGTCTCTCTTTCTCGCTCCGCCTCTCCGTGCTACGTCATGTAATGTACACTATAGTGGATCGATACTATATGACAATGAAAGAGAGACTTGGAGCAAGTCTAGACATGTTATGGCTCACATGATTTGCTACAAGGTTTATGAATTTTTAATGAGTATTCTAATAATAAGGTATATGTTAATATGAACAATAGGTAGCGTGGTAGTTGTCATGACAAAGGTCAAGAGGTATTTTATTATAATGCGTGTCTTATTGAAACTTAAAAAACTTATTAATAATTCAGGAGCAAAACACAAAGAAAAATCATAAGCGTGTCGTGGTTTTATATGTGATAAAAAATCATGTTAATTTACATAAACTTTAGCTTTGATTTTCTCGGTTTAGACAAAATTTATTTTAAAAATTACTTCGCCAATGAACTCGTATAAGATGAGTCGTTTTTTAATGTGATAAAACACTCCTACGCGTGCTTTAAATAGTACATTAATTTGTTTTTCCAGGAACCAGTATCCAATGAAATACTAGGAATAAGGGTCACACCCTTCCGAAAGGCATTATTTAACCAAGAAAGCTTTTGTTGTCTGCCGTTGTATGCTACGGTAGTCGAGCACTTCGAGGTCTGGTATTTACGCTCAGACGAAAAAAATCTGCTTGTATTATGGCGGATAGCTCGGATGAAAGGTCATCTTACTTGGTTGTCACCGGATGGATAGTGTTACTCGTATTGTACGTCGTGCAAGTTGTTCTTCTAGTCTTGTTTTTGACAAAATACGAAGACTCCAAGTACGGCTGGTATTCTGTTGTGTTTATAATTGCTCCAATATTAACAGTCGCTTTCTTATACCGAAACCGGCAAACGAATGGATATGCCAATGAGGATAAAGAAATACGCCTCGTTTGGGCAATTTTGGGAGCATACATTGTGCCGTTCGTTATTACAGTTGCCACGATTTTTATTACGGTTGCGAAAGAGCTGACTAAAAAGCGTACCCTTGGTATTAATGCTTTAAAAACGACGCTATGTATTACACCAGGATTGTTAATCCTTTTCCTGCAGCTTGCGATTTCTCCATCTTACCGAAAGCCTGTCGTGTCTCTGTCTATAGTTGCCGCGTTGAATATCTTCGACGGAATCGAAATGCTGGAAACCTTTCTGATGCAAAACGAAGGACTTCTGGATATAGACAGCGCGACAGAGGGAGTTATAGAATTTTGGATGCAAAACGGTGGTTATTTTAATTTCAGTAGCGCCAACGGGACTGAAATATTGAAAACATTTTTATTGAAAGAAGACAAACATTTTGATTTGAACAGTGAGACAGAATGGTGCATCATTATCTTCACCTGTCTTTGTTTCCTTCTGTCATCTTTCGGGTTGGCTCGAAATAAGTTTGAAGGTGAAGGCAACGTAAAAGAACGGACGAAAATGTCTATTGCCTTTAGCTTCCTTGAAATTATCTGCATTAATCTTCCATTTCTGGGCATTCGAGCCTACATTTGGAAAGAACACAAGTACGAAGCTGCCGTGTTTATTGCCAAGAATATTGTGTCTTTAGTCGTTGGTGCAGTCGAGATTGGCATTTTCATAAAAGTACAACGAGATAAATACACCAGACTAGGACAAATCGAATCGTAGTTACAGGTAAACTACGTGAAGCGTTCCTCTTTTGAGTTTCTAAATTGATTGCAATTTTCTTCATTACCTTTGCAATTTAAAAAACTCCCATGCAAGTTGCTAAAAGCCAATTAAATTTTCCTCAGTTCCTGTTAGAAGTTCTTAACTTCCTGTTAAACTGTGCTGTTACAAGTTCCTAACTTCCTGTTCTGTTCTGCGCGTTGCAATTGGCTAACAAAAATAATCGACCAATAACAACGCTCAGAACAGAACAGGAAGTTAGGAAATTAAAACAGGAAGTTAGGAAAATTTAAAATGAAGTTTTTTTGCATTGGAATATTGCAACAGCCGATAGGAACGTTGCAAATTCCCTCGAAGGATTTGCAAAGAGTTTTTTAAATTTGCAAAGCTAATGAGGAAAATTCCAAATGAGTTACGAAGTCAAAAGAGGAACGCTTCACGTAGTTTACCTATAAAAGTATAAAGATATACTGTGTAACTGTTTCCATGTATTTGAACAATCCATATAACGAAACTATTTAGAATGGTGCGCACATTCATAGCCAATCATGATGTGGCCTGGAAACTCGGCAAACATCTTTGTTCTATATTTCTGTTCATTGTTTGAGCAAACTTGTGCATGGTGAAGACAATATTAAATAAACAAAATTTCAAAAGATTTATGGAGGGCAGCAAAAAATTAGGGATGCGTGGCACGCTTCATCTCCCAACCCCTTAAAACCGCCAGCTACGCATATTAATAAAGATTAAAGTCGGTTTTCATTTTACAGGGTGTCTAAAAAAATGGAGACTTTAAAAATTCACGTTATTGTTATAATTTGAATGCCGCATGAGTACTACAGGGTGTCCCAAAAAACCCAAAATTATTGAAATAACGTATTGTTAGAATTTGAATGGCCCTAGCAGTAATCTGAACGTAAAGGTGCGTAAAATATTGAGAGGGTGCATAATAATATTATTTATTATTCATTGTACTGTGTTCTCGGTTTTTCATTGGCTAAAAGCCTACAAATAATTTTGGGTATTTGTAGGTGCCTGCGCTATTTCCAGCGGAAACAGCAATGTGCAGAGGTTATTGGACGGCGCCCGAGATATTTCAGCGGTATTTTATGTGAAAATACAAATTGGCGGGAAATTTTTAGCTGAAAAGTTAATCAATTCAATGAATATTTATTTGTTTTCAATTGTTGCTTGTTTTGTTTTCTTTCTGTCACAAAATTAATAATAAAACAATTATTGAATTCGGCTTGCGCAGGATACCAGAATTATTCAGACCTCGGTCAATGATAACATTGACCTCGGTCTAAATAATTCTGGATATCCTGCTCAGCCTCATCCAATAATTGTTAAAAATATTGACATATTAGGAAATATCTTTGTAAAGCGAACGATTTTCTGCTCTTGGGAATTTACTTGAACAGTTTCTTGATGCACAAAAAATTACGAATGTCAAGTTTTTATTCAAATTCTAACAATACATTATTTCAATAGTTTTGGGGTTTTTGCGACACCCTGTATACTGAACCGATGCGTAAACACAATTGAATCGAATTTTATGCATGTACTTTGAGTATAATTTAGCACAACAAAAACTCTTTGCTCTGTAGTCAGTTGAACCCAGCCTAAATCTAGGCCTTCTATTTTTATTATTTTTTTTTTAATATTCCGCGCTTTTTACATGAAAAGACTGGGACTGGATGCTTTGGGGGCGGGACGGAGGATGGACCAACCTCGTACCCAGGGCTTCTGCGCTTATTGCTCTCAGAAGCCCTGGGATAATCCAATCTCGTTCCCAGAGTATGCCTGTTCGCGGGTTAGGTTGTGGCATGACTCTGGGGAAATCGAATTTTTTTTATCCAAAATGAGATAAATGGCGCATGCGCTTTTATTGCTTTTGTTCATTCCGCTTACTAAATTCGCGCGGG